ATGAGACATTGTTCTTCATTCATTTCATGAACGCATCTCCACAGAAGTTTCAGCTGTGTTTATTGATCTTCAGGTGTGATTTGAGTAAAAAACATTTTAACCACACTCTGCAAACATGTGACTCCTCACTTCCAGAGTTCTTGTGTGTTTTGACCATGAACCAGAACTGACATGTCTCCTACTTGTTTTTAAAACACAAGGCCACTTGACTGTGTGAGATCTTATGTGCCTTTTTACTTGAGACACATCAAAGTTTCTTTTCCTGCAGGTCTTGGAGAGTTATGACTTCTCACCTGTGTGGATTCTCATGTGGGTCGTCAGGCTACTTTTACATCTCAAAGCATTCTCACATGTTGTCCAAGTAAATGGCTTCTCACCTGTGTGGATTGTGTGTGATGTTTGAAATGTTAATCTGGTCGTCAGTGGGACAAAAGAAATCCCGTGCTAACAAAGTTATCGTTTTTTTTTTAACTTTACTAAAATCATTAAGGGTTCATTTTCTGAAGTCAGCTGCTGTAGTGTACCTCCTCTAAATGTGGTCCGGCCAAACTGAGCTCTGGTCAACCTGCATTCTGATCGCGGTGGTTTCTGCGTGCATCTACACCTGCAGTAGCATTGCATTTTTCCTCATTCAGTCTACAGGCATAGATCACAGATGTAACAGGCACAAGGTAAAACCAGTTTTGCCCACATTCTGCTGTCATTGTTGACAAGTTGCTCATATGCACCAAAGAACACGGTGTCTGCAGATATAACCAAGGTAAATTTCAGACTTTTTAAGACATTTGTAATCCCACCTTATATGGAATTTAAAACCATCTCATGGCTGTCATACATGCAATTTATTATTGCAATATTCAGAGAAATACAGCAAGGAAAAAAAAATATTTTTCTTCGGTCTGTACAATGATTGTAAACTGTCATTGGGTCTGTGAGGCTGGAGAAATGTTCACAGTAATGTGACCAAAGATATCTAATACCCATTGAATCTGAATTTAAGGTGTATTTCTTGACCTGAAAAAAGCTTTTGACACTGTTGATCACAACTTATTATTAAAGAAGTTATTTAAATATGGAATTAGAGGGGTTGCTTTAACATGGGTAAGTAGTTACTTGATAAATTGAAGTCAATATGTTCATATTTATAACGTCAACTCTAATCTGAAGGATGTCACATGTGGGGTTCCACAGGGATCTGTTCTGGGACCATTGCGATTTATATTATACATCAATGAAATATGTGTAATCTCCAGAATAATGAAAACAGTATTATTTGCATGACACCAACTTATTGTGCTGTGGCAACAACTTGGAACAGCTTCTGGATGATGTGGAAAATGATTTAAAAAAACTAAAGAGTTGGTTTGACTATGATAAACTAACACTGAACTTTCTTTCTCTAATAAAATTTCGTGGAGTAATAATTGATAATAAACTATGTTGGAAACCACACATTAATTATATTAAAAACAAAATATCAAAACCAGTTGCAATCCTTTACAAAATTAAAGATCTCGTGTGTCAAAAGTCATTATACCTTCTGTACTGCTCATTTATACTTCCATACATAACTTACTGTGTGGAGGTGTGGGGGAACACGTACAGTGCCAACACCAAACCAATATTTACACTACAAAAAAGTGCGATAAGAATAGTAAACAAGACCACCTACAGTGAACTGTCAAACCCACTCTTTATCAAACTAAAAACACTCAGGATTTAGGATTTAGTTGACCTCAAAACTGCACAGATTATGTATAAAGATAAAAATCAGTCATTGCCACAAAATATTCAGAATTTGTTCCAAGCAAGAGACAAACACCACAACTTGAGAGGACTGGATATGTTCAGTAAACCCTTGGTAACAACCAATTCCAAATATCACAGCATCACAGTCAAAGGAGTCAAAATATGGAATGAATGTAGAGATGAAATGAAAAACAGCAGCACTTTAAACAAATTTAAAAGATTGTTCAAAAACAGTAGATTGTATGAATATGAAGCACAGCTGGCATAGGAAGTATCTTCCTTCC